CGACACTTGTTGTTTTCGGTCGACCCAAAACGGCTTGGGCACGTGAGTGCCAGCAGTCTTACGCCTTGAGAGCTGCTACATGCAGCTAGTGGACCTGTTCTGACCGCCCCAGCCCTGGGCGACGCCGCTCTACACCTCTCTATTTCCCAGACACGACCCATGGGACTGCCAGTCCGGACTGCCTTCAAAACGGCCAGGGGTAGTTGACTGGGGTCAACTGATCGGCCGTGGCAGTCCCATGTGTCGTGGGTGTTTTTCTATCTGTTTCTTTGGCTCAGGCCGGGTCGCCTCCCCACGTCGGTGGGGTCTCCAGAACCTGAACACCACCGAGTCCCACCGCGTCGTCCGGGCGCGCGTCGTCCCTTCGGTTTCCACGGCCGGAACCGGTTTCTGGGGCGGTGTGAGGATTCGGAGAGGCCCGGCCTGGAGGAACTTGGTTGTTCTGGGTTGTGTGGGGGGATTCCTGGAGTCCCAATTTTGGACATCTGAACAGGCCAGCATCGCGTTGCTCCTCCTCTGCCTGCTCTGCCCGCACCTGCCGAATAGAAAACATGAGGGAAATCAAGGAACGAAGCAGCCTGTGCGGCGCAGTTTCAAGGTGTCACAGAAAACGCATGCAAAGTATTCAAACATCTTATTCTTTGTTTTCGACTCCAAAAAGTCAGGGGAGCATCCCTGCTAGCAACGGCCAGGTGACGGACCACATGGGCCCATACTAGATCATGCTATATAGATAACATCATAAAAATGAGCTCTTTTTTCATGAGGCCGCATTCGGCATCTATACACACACGCACTCCCTGAAATCTGCGGCCGAAGTCCGGCACCCTCTGGACCATCTTCCGTCGTTGTGGTCCGAGTCGCATGGTCCGAGTCGTTCGGAGCCAAGCGATGCACTGAAGCGATGATTTCAGGTAGCAGCTGCCGTGGTCAGGATTGACCATGACCTACTGTGGTTGAGTCGTTGGTAACAGCACCTCTAACATCCACCTGTGAAAGGACTTGTTTTGACCACTTGCTGCTCACTTGCTGAACCGCACAAAAAGCAAGGAAACATCCCATAAAGGGGAGTTCACCCGAAGGAGGACATTACTCACATCATCTCACATCATTCCAAGCTAAAACCAGGCACATGAGCCACCAACAGCTCTTCCCCAAACGATCACGAACAGCGGCAAAATACCAAAGAAAACCATCGGCCTTGGCGTCGGCTGCGGCGGCTTGCGCCTCCCGGCGCTGGACCTGCGGTGAATGATGAAAGCTTGTGGGCACAGATGTTCTGATAGCATGGCAATAACTAAACAACCGCTTTTTGGATGAGGAACGCAGGTAAAATATGTGTCATCATCACACATACCGAATCATACCGAACCATACCTGTAAGATATCGCCCTCAAATGAGTTTGGACGAACATGGACGAACAGTTTGGACCTGTTTGGACGACACTTTCGGGTCTCAGGGTGTATCCATGCAGTAGTCTTGCGGTTTTCGACCATGATTGGTGCTTATGGACCCGGGTTTTTCAGATTGCGCTCGGTTCAACGACACGCGTCGCGTGGATGTTTCTTAACGTCTTCAACAAGGGCTGCTCGGTCAGCCGCCGCTCGGTGAGCCGCTCGGAGGGTTTTGAATGGAGCCATTTGGGTGTGTCAACTTCGCTTCGACCCCCGATCCCGGGGTAGACTGCTCTGAAAAACGTCCGAACCTGCCGGGGGGAGGGAACGCCTGGGAGGGAGACCCCGAATCGGAATCGGCCTCCCGTTTGATACGCCATCACGGCGCACATGAAAGAGTTCAAAATATGTTCAAAATGATGTGGCGCACCCGAAATGCTGCGGCTTCCAGCCATATTCACCCACTGCTTGGATTTGGTAGATCATGGAAGATCCACCAATGAGACGAGCCATAGGCGCACGGAAATGCATGGCATGGAATGAAGAAAGGGCAATCATCTATACTCCACCCTCGAAGTGGCTCTTAGACCATCTGGATGACCTATACTTTGTACCTCTATCTATCAGTGATCCACTCCATCCAACGCTAAGCCTGGCCTCTAAATCCTTGGTCATTTGCAACTCAGCATCTCTGGCGTCTAAAGCATCTTCCTGGCCGGTCCGAGGAAAGGCACTGTGGGATGGTGGATGGGATGGACCGGATGGTGGAGGGTGCATGGGATGGATTTGTGCGAGAGAACGTGAGATTTCTTCATGCCCAGGACTGTCCAAAGGCGCCCCAAAGGGGTCCGGGGTTCATCTTCTTCGGTTCTGAGCTTTGCAGAGCTGCGGGAAATATCGGAGACAACACCGATGGGTGAATATCATCCCATTACCAGTAACACTGGATGATGATGGTTAGGTTGCAGGCCTTTCTCGAAACTAGTGATAACATGTCATGATCACCGTTTACCGTTACTGGTAATGGGCTAGGACCCGTCCTAAGCTCATACGGTCAAGCACTGGATGACACCACCAGCCTGACACCGGGCAATCCGATCTGCGAACGAACGCTATGATTCTACGACACAACCGAGTCACTCGACGGGCACGGCACGGGTGGACGCCAAGCAGGTCGGCGGCACGATGCTGGCCAAGAGATCTTCTGCTTTCTTTAACTCGTCGTTCACCTTCCAAGGAGCAGGTTCAAGCGACGGACCCTACTTGGGTACCTACCTGGTCCTAACTTTTTAAAGGTCATTCACCACCAGAGCAGACCTGCTGGATGGTCCTGGTATGGGACATGGTCAAAATAAGGGTTCTTCAACCTCCTTCTTGCGCCAAAGCCCTGATTCGCTTCCACGCGGCTCACGAGTCGACCGTGACCGTCAGGCTGCGACAGGTCAGACGGGTCGACCCTTCGAGGGCACCACACGGTGCTGCGAGGGGTCGAAGTTCCGTTTTGGGCTTTGAACATTCGTTTTGAACTGGGAGGAAGTCGAACACGGAAGTCGAAAAGCTGTTTCTTCTGTTTCTACAGGACAGTAGACCATGTTCATCCATTTTCCACGTATACATACGTATACATGTTTGTGAGTCCGAGTGTATATCTGGTGATTCGTCTCCCTCTTGCACCAGTCTCTGGGTAGGAACCTCAGCGACAACTGCTCATTCATGCACATCGAAAACACCCACGTCCGTCCCGCCTTTTGCCACACCCAACTTGGGCCCCTTCTTTCTTCTTCCAATATGACACATCCTTCAACCCCCTTCGTTCTCCATGCAACTGGCAGATTCGTTACATCGGGGTGCCCGGACCTGCGGGGATCCATATTGGCATATACACCAGTCCCAAACAGCTCGTGTCTGACATACACCTTCCTTCTTCCCAGTGGCCCGGACCCCGACCTTGTTCGCACGCTCTTTGGCTTGGAAGATCATTCCAGTAGACGCCAGGACGCGATGATCCTCCGCGGAGATTACGACAAGGCTTGGAACACCTAATCTCCGGGCGCGCCATATACAGCGGGGCGCCCTGTTTGACAGAGGTCTGAGACAGTCTGATGTACAACCCATGTCTGGAACCCATGTTTGGAAGGTGGGCGTTTCGTTTGAACTCTCCGAGTCGTCAGACTTCGAATGCCCAACTTCAAGAGGTGCCGACGTGGCCGACGTCGTGGAGCGGGTTTTCCGATGTTCTCCTCTTCGTGGAAGGCGTCTTGGTTTGTGTTTTCCAGATGTCGGCGGCCACGTGCATCGTTATACCAAAGCTCATCGTATACATTCGTATACCAAAGCTTTTAGTCATATGTGACACCACTACAATCCACTACATGACATCACCGCCTTCCACCATGTTGTACAATGCACAAACCGTCCTCCGCCCATTTGGATGCATTTTGTTCTTTCTTTTTGGGGGTACTGATGCAAGCGTCTGGCATGAAGAGGAGAACACCGGTCAGTCCTGATCATCCTCCTGGCGATGGCGAAGGGCTTCGGGCGAAGGGGGGGAATGTACTTCCAAAGAAACCGCCTGACTCGATACCTGGACCTTCGTCCGGGGTGTCCTATCTGGAGGTCCCGGATAGTGGTGGGCTGGGGCGAAACCAGCCAGGTGACCCCGACATGAAGGTGCTGGAAGTGACATTTGGGGATGGGTCACAACCACGGGGGCGTTGGTGAACCACAGAACATGCACAGAATGGACTGCCATCAAGATCAACGGGCTCCAGGGGTGAAACGGGCTTTGAAGCGCCATTTCACAATCCGGAGCTTTAATCAAGTATGGTGGTCCCCAAATAGTAGTTAGTAGTATGGTTTCCAATACATTCTATGTTCATCGAATTTACGGGTCTATGTTATGCTCATTCATCTCAAGTCACTCTTCCACGGCCCTGCGATGCCCTGCGATGTCCCAACAATCTGAGGTCAGAGCCGGTTGTCCAGGAAGCGGAGGGGGACGTGGAAGATCTGAGCGTTGGACAGTTCGCTGCGATGTTGGGCAGTTGGCAGGAATCTCTATTCGGCAAACCTCTGATTCTTACCTGCCTGTGGGTTGACCTGCCTGGTAGAAGCTGGGAACTCGCTACATGGTGGACCAAACCTCCAAAGGTTTGGACCCATCACATTTTTTGGAGGCTGTTTCTTTCAGCTGAGCAGTTCTCCGCGTCTTTTGGCCACAAACGCCGTCAACACTTGAGGATGTTCCCGTTCGTTCATGCAGTTCCCAATGATTCTATTTCTGCCACCAACGGACTAACGGTGTCTGATGGAACCTTTTTTTCCAATTGTGCTTTCACCAACTCTGCAATTCAACGCTGATGTTTCATCATGCAACGTGGGTAACTGGTGTTCAAAATGTGGCAAGAATTCGAGCGCCAAGATCCTTCAAGATTCCTTAAAGTGCCTAAACATGTCTGAACCATCCTCCCAAAAAACCTGGCTCGGACGTGCTCTTTGCTACATGTGCTCATCCTGTGCATTCTTTTCTCAGCTGGTCAGACTCAACCACCTCTCCAGTGGCCGGTAAGGTCTCTTTGGAACATCAAACCGTTGGGTTCCAGCTCTCACGGTTCGGCTGTTGGAGCAATCACGTCGCGGCTGGGGAGGGCAGTCACCATGGGCATGTCACCATGGGCAGTCACCATCACTATCATCACTTCACAGTCTTTGGCAGCACGGGCCGGGTGAAAAAAACCTGCACATTGGACCCTCTGCTCATGTGGGGGTTGTTCAAAAGTCCTTTCATTTTTTCCCAGGCCTTTCGCAGGACCTTCGCGAACCTTTCGCAAGCTTTCGCGCGTGGGGTTTTACCACTGTCGGCGAAAATGGTTTTTCGTTGGGGCTAGAGGCTTTCAAGGATAGTTGCCCTGGCACGTCTTGTGTCCTCTGATCACTGACACATTGATTGCTGAGGAGCAGGAAGCCAGCGAACCAAGACATTTTCATGTTGGTGTGTTTTTGGTTGGGCGCAACCCTCCATGAACAAGAGACGGCTCAGTCAGGCCACTTTGCTCAGACTTCCTTTTTCCCGGGCCGGGAAAAAGCAACATGGTTCAGACTTCGAATTTGCCTTTTCCCGGGCCGGGAAAAAACAAAATGGTTCAGACTTCCAATTTGCTTTTTCCCGGCCCGGGAAAAAGCAAAATGGTTCAGACTTCGAATTTGCTTTTTCCCAACCCGGGAAAAAGCAAAATGGTTCAGACTTCGAATTTGCTTTTTCCCAGCCCGGGAATAAGCAAATGGTTCAGACTTCCACTTTGCTTTTTCCCGGGCCAGGAAAAAGCAAAATGGTTCGGACTTCGAATTTGCTTTTTCCCGGGCTGGGAAAAAGCAAAATGGTTCAGACTTCCATTTTGCTTTTTCCCGGGCCAGGAAAAAGCAAAATGGTTCCGACTTCCAATTTGCTTTTTCCCGGGCCGGGAAAAAGCAAAATGGTTCAGACTTCCAATTTGCTTTTTCCCGGGCCGGGAAAAAGCAAAATGGTTCAGACTTCCAATTTGCTGTTTCCCGGCCCGGGAAAAAGAAAAATGAAATTCCGTCCAATTTGGAAAGCAATCTGTGGGGCCAGATTGCCCTCTCCGGCCTGGAAGCAAGCAGCGCCTGTGAGGCTCGAGCCCACGACCTTCTGCTTATGAGCCAGGCGCCTTAATCATTAGGCCACTGCTCTCTAGAAAATTGCTGTTTTTTCTCAGCCTTTCCAAACGCAAACTGGATGTCCAATTTGCTTTTCCGGCTCAAACTTCCAATTTGCTTTTTCCCGGGCCTCGAAAAAGCAAACTTGGAAGTCTGAACCATTTTGCTTTTTCCCAGCCCGGGAAAATGCAAATTGGAAGTCTGGGCCATTTTGCTTTTTCCTGGCCCGGGAAAAAGCAAAATGGAAGTCTGAACCAATTTGCTTTTTCCCAGCCTGGGAAAAAGCAAATTGGAAGTCTGAGCCTTTTGCTTTTTCCCGGCCCGGGAAAAAGCAAATTGGATGTCTGAACAATTTTGCTTTTTCCCGGCCCGGGAAAAAGGAAATTGGAAGTCTGAGCCTTTTGCCTTTTCCAGGCCTGGGAAAAAGCAAATTGGAAGCCGGAACCATTTTGCTTTTTCCCGGGCCGGGAAAAAGCAAATTGGAAGATTGGAAGTATGAGCCTTTTGCTTTTTCCAGGCCCGGGAAAAAGCAAATTGGAAGTCTGAGCCATTTTGCTTTTTCCCGGCCCGGGAAAAAGCCCGGGAAAAAGCAAATTGGAAGTCTGAGCCTTTTGCTTTTTCCAGGCCCGGAAAAAGCAAATTGGGTGCCTGAACCGTTTTGCTTTTTCCTAGCCCGGGAAACCGCAAATTGGAGGTCTGAGCCAGCCCTGGAAAAAGCAAATTGCAAGTCTGAGGTGGGGTGGGGTTTGGCCCTGTCGTCTTTCGCGTCCACAACGCGAACCTTTCGCCATACTTGCGCAGTTTCCCACGACAAAGAATTTTCCAAGGGTCGGGAAAAAGCAATTGGACATGTATCAGACTTCCAATTTGCTTTTTCTCGCGCAGACTTCCAATTTGCTTTTTCCCGGGCCGGCAAAAAGCAAAATTGTCCAGACTTCCAATTTGCTTTTTCCTGGGCCTGGAAAAAGCAAAAGGCTCAGACTTCCTATTTTTCTTTTTCCCGGGCCGGGAAAAAGCAAAAGGCTCAGACTTCCAATTTCCTTTTCCCGGGCCGGGAAAAAGCAAAATGGTTCAGACTTCCAATTTGCTTTTTTCCGGGCCGGGAAAAAGCAAAATGGTTCAGACTTCCAATTTGCTTTTTACCGGGCCGGGAAAAAGCAAAAGGCTCAGAGTTCCAATTTGCTTTTTCCCGGGCCGGGAAAAAGCAAAATG